CAGATAAAGGATGCGCCTTTCTTTTTACCGTCTTCTTGCTCTTACTCCAATTTTGTGATTTTGGCAATATCACCCTATCGTTTTGGCGGTTGTGCGCGGCTTCAACGGTGAAAATTTTTTCGACTGAAAAAATGAAGCTCAAATGTCGGTTGTTTTTGGCGCACTTTACTAGGCGGCGACATCTTTGCACTCTTGTTTTTTGTTTGCAATCGTAAAATCGTGGGACTTCTTCATACGATAGCTGTACATCTTCTATTCCTCTTCGACTATATTTCGGACCGATTTTTCGTCTATTTGCAAATCCTACGCCATTTTTCGCATGGATCTCTAGGATTGCGCATCAGTTTCTTTCTAATGACCTCCACGTTCCTCCGTGTGACCGCTGTTCCGGGTCGGCAACTTCTTAGGCGGTCCATGGTCCCCCCCCCTACAGACCTATAGCGCTCACTCGTTTTTCACATTTGGGCTCAAGGCGAGAGTTTTCGCGATCTTCTGTACATCCCATCCGGCGAGATGCAGCCGGATGATGCGCTGCGAATGGGAAGCCGTCATTTCGTTGAATCGCGAGTTTTCAAGGAGAGATTTGGCAAAATGATAGAACGAGCTTTACTTTGGTTAGTAATAAAATACTATCAAAAACCAATGAAAGAACATGTTAGTTTTTGATGTCAAATCAAGAGGCACAGTACTTTTTCCGTACCCTGTAAATGTAAAAATGTGAGCATTAGAACAATCGCAAAAAGCTTGATTCACGGAAAATTTGAAAACAAAATTCAAAAAAATTCAAGATTCTAAAAATCAAATCTTGGTTCAAAAGATCTTGCAAACTTCCAAGTTGGTCAGGCATATAGTGTCCACACAAACATTCATATGTACAGTATGTACGATGGTTTTTTTCCACGTTCACTTGAGGAAAACCTCTGGAAGTAAAACCGTGAATTTTTAGTATCTCACAAGGGCTATTTTCCGAAAAATATCGAATTTAGCATGAAAAACCCGAACAAGGTGATCTTTCCGCATTTTTGACCTATTTGTAATTCTCAAATTTCACCCACTGTAAAAAAGCGGTAAGCGCGCATACAGGAGCATATGTGTGACCAACTTGAAGGTCCGCAGCATCTCATGGAAAGCAGGCCTGATTTTTGGATGATTTTTTCGGTTTGCTTTCAATTACATGCAGATTTGGTTTTTTTTGCGATTTTTTGAAAGCATTATATAGTAATACAGAGGTTGCTTTGCTCCAACAAATGATATGTTTCCCATTTTTTCAATTTCTAAAGTGCTGCAATCGAGCAAGGAACTTATATTGACTACTACTACACTTTATTGACTTGTATTAATCTTCAGCTAACCTGATATTAGGTTGTGCCTAAAGTTTTGTCGTTCATTTTCGAAAATTTTTAATTTTTGCCCATCTCAGCGGATTTGCCTCTTTGATTCTATCAGGAAAAGAAATCTTTTTATTTGTAAATGCGTTTTCATGAGTTTCTAATAATCAATCGTTGCAAAGATAAAAATTGATGAAGAAGACCTCTAGGTTTGATCATTCTGATTAGGTTGCCATAAACCTGGAACGTTGTAGAAAACCCTGGAACTGTCACTGCATGGATTTCATGATCTACTTTCGGCAACCGAAAAACTTTGCGCTGTTTGGGTGTTTCTGCGAAAAGCTCGAGTTTACATCAAAAAAAGCCGAAATTGATTAGTTTGTCATTTTTCCCAGAAATCATAACTTCTCACAGAGACGTAGAAACAGCACAAATTTTTCTTATTTTCCAAGTTTATGTCATAAAACTTATATGGCGATCTAACTAAATGTGTTTTATTCCTACAATGAGCATCTGCAAAAAAGAGGACTTCTCCCTCATAGTATAAATTTACATAGAAGCAAATCCGTCGAGATAGGGAAAGGTTACAATTTTTGAAATGAGCGACAGGTCTTTCGAGACGTCCTAGTAATTCATGTAAACGTCTTTATCTACGCAACTTTTCCTCCACCCTATCACGAAATATTCCACTCCCGCTACATTCAGAAGCAATAGCAGTTTTTTAAGATGTAAATTTCATTGGTATGATGTTACAGTCTACAGTTTTATATTGGCTGTATCAGACATGAATTGCGATAATCGGAGAAAAACCGCTGCTAATGACGACGCGCGAAACGGATTGGAGCTAATCGCGCACGCAATTTTTTTACATGATGTGATTACAGACCAGATTAACTACTTTTTTTCCGGAATATTCTCCACCATGTCTCTCTTACTGGTGTATACAGTCATATGACAAACGTCCTAATTTTTGAATGTTTAACTTTTAATGGCTTCGACTTCTTTTATGACTAAAAAATAGACGAATTGAAATGCTAGGGCAGTTTTTTGTTCGCCGATTGCATCATAAGGGTTTTTTGCACTATGACAGAACAGTTCCCCTAGGTGTCTTGGTTTGTAAACAACAACAAAAGAGATCTAAAATCGGTTTATCAAATCATAGGCTATAAACCTATTGTTTGAAGAAAGCGGTTACGATTTGAGGTAAGCAATCACATCAAGGGTCTCTCTTTTCCAGCTTTCCATCATAAAACAAGTAAATTGCCCTTCGCTTCGATATCCACATGCTGTTCGTTAGTTTTTTTTTTGACCTCATTATCGTCCATTCAAACTACATCGATGCCATCTGCACTCTTTTAATCTTACAGTAAAGAATATTATCTCCTCTTGGAATTGGTTGATTTACTTTAGTCTCATGAGATCACAACGGCGTTGGCCTCTGTACAGAAACAGCCACTAAGCTTTGTTTGCATGAACCCTTTTACTAAGCAAAGTCTAGCCCCTCAAAACACTTGGCAAGGAATTCATGGTTCAAATTTACAACTTACATGATGTTCACATACAAACTACTCACTCGTATCTCTCAATGCAAAACTTCAAAATCAGATTAAAAGCAGCATTTAGCCATCTGGATTCAAGAGTTTTTCGTTATTTTTGTCCTTATATAAATGACCATTGTCAGAGTCTTTTGTGTTATAGGCCAATCAACTCAAGCAGTTCATGGACAGAAGTTTTCAATATGAAAAATGCTATTTCAGTCGTCGCTACGGACATATGTACATGTTTAATTTCTGGTCGTTATTCGCCGATACTAAAGACGTTGCACTATGGCAACTTAACCTTTGTGGTTGATGATGTTTTCATTCCTCATACTCATATATCAATAGAAAACCCGTTCTTGTGATGTTTTGTTCACAGCGCGTTCCCTATGACGCATATTTTGCTATGCCATCGATCACGCTTTGATTTTGCATTTTTTGAATTCATTTGAGTCTGTTTGAGCCCATTCAGAAGTATGAAGAATTTTTAGCCTTTCGAACCTTTTTTATACTTATGAATGGTCAGATCATATATTTATGAATGGGCAGATCATGTTTTCACAAATTGTGGAGCAGTGATCGTATTTCAAGTAACTTGAAGATGCCAAAAACATATTATTGTGTGATTTTTTGTTCAAGTAATTTGATAATCTACAAAGTACGCAACTCGTGATAGTCTTGGATGACGCACTATCTGGCATTTTTCAAATATTGACCTTACATCTGTGCTTCCAAAAAACTTTTGATCGATGGATTAGACTGATCACAAGAGGTCTACTCTAATTTCCAAAACTTCTGGTAGATGTATCATTGCCAAAGATTTATGCTATTTCCAAATTCTTAGAAAGCACCGGAAAGGCTTTATATTCCAAAGATTCCTAATTTTCTAGAGTAGACATGAAAATAGTATTACTGACTACTTCAATTTGCACCGCGTCTTTTTGATTTTTGCCTATTTCATTTTCACTTTTCCAATGGGAATGTTCAATTGGCTCTATAGTCCATGAAGAGTGTGTCATAAAATGCATATGGTGTATAACTAGATAATCCGAATTGACTGAAAGTGTACAGGTTTTGATGGCATAGCTTCGGAGGAATTCAAACATGGATAACGTTTTTCTTTGCTTTGATCGCAGACAGCCGCTCTATTCTTCAGAAAGATAACGTTTTTCTTTGCTTTGATCGCAGACAGCCGCTCTATTCTTCAGAAACGTTTCTTTCTTTATCTTCTCATGGACATGACTTTTTGTTTGAAATAGAATCAAACTTATGCAAATCGATCATGATAGGAAATTCTAATGAGAAAATGGTGCGATAAGCTGCTGTTATGCTCAACTCTGAGCTTCAGGCAGCATTCAAATTCTGTAAAAATATTCATTACTGAGACTGCAAACACCTATTGATAGCATTTTTGATGCAGCTAACTTTGTTCATAGTGCTTCGAGCCACGTCACATATGTGTTTAAAAATAATTGAGTAAATTCAATCTACGATTTCAGTGAAGATACTGACAAGTTCATGCTCATCGAATAAGAATCATCTGATTAAAATTTCAAAAGATTTTGTTCCTCAACACTTCTCCACTCGTTGACTAATCAGCTAGTAAGCATGTCTTTTATTTGTAGCTCCTGTTTCCTTGCTATACTCATCCCTTTGAATTTATATGAAATGCTTTGTATCTGAACATTCTATCTTGGATAGAATGTAAAGAAAAATAAATCGCATCACGTGGTACAGTATAGTAAACAACAAAAATTGTTGACAGCGATATTTTTGTACTGTTGTTATTTCTATTTTGGCTTGTTGATCAATAGCCCAAGCGCACTATCCCTTGTTGTTTAGTTTATTCAGCCGTTGGAGCTTGTGAACAATTGCTTGTGCAATTGGTATATATAACGACTTTGATCGGATTTTTGAATTTTTCCAATTACAATTACTAAAATCAGCGGAATAAATTGACCCAAATGACGCAAACTCCTCTAAGGCTGCTTTTTGCAAAAGGAGAATTGAAATTCTTTTACTTTTATGGAAAAATAGTACATTTGATGAGTCACCGGTCGGGCGGTGACTAATCAGCATTCATCTTACCGTATAAAAGGCTATAATGCACTAGGAGCATTACCAACGTCCTATACCGATTAATCATTTCGTGATTAAGCCGTCAGGAATTTTTTTATTTGCAGAATGAACGCCCTCTACTTGGCGCTGGTCATTTTTGAAATTATCCTCTATCGTGATGTAGATGCTCAACGAAGTAAAGAAGCCGCTCATCGTCCCGCTCCTCCTCCATTCCTTCGAACTGTCAATGCCAAGGGCAAAAGGGAATATTATGAAATTCTAAAGAAGAAGGATGAGACGATTGCTGCACAGAAAGAAGAAATTCTTCGATGGGCCGAAACTTATGGCGTCGAGGTGCAATTTTGACAGTCAAATCTGGGATCTGCTTTGTTTTTTTTGCAATTTTTCTACTTTTAGGACCAAGTGAGATCATTCGAGGCCAATATTACAAAACACAAAGAAGAAGTGCAATCTAAAGTTACTGAACTATTAGATAGGCTGCCAGTTCTCTATAAAGAGATTCTTGCGGTCTACAACAATGAGGATCAAACCGCAGCTGAAAAGAAAGAGGAATTGGACAAAATCAGACTTGCGAATCAGAAGGTACAAATTTTTGAAAATATGTACCTTTCTGGACCATAACATTATTTCAGGAATATAATGTCATACTATTTGCCACATCACAATTCCGGCCAAAACGAAGCGGACCAGTGAGACAAGCGCAGCGGGGGCGACGCGATACGATCGAGAAGAGAAGTTAGTTTATGAAATTAGAATTTTCGTTGAGCAATCTTTTTCTCCCTCTTCAATTTTGGAAAAAAAATCAACAAAAAACAGACAAATTCAGCTCAAATTAGTACATTACCCATTGTTTTCGTTTTTTGTCGTTTCGTACGGAGCTTTTCTTGTTTTGTTCAGCTTTCCAACCATAAGTAAATAGTTTGCAGAGTTGCGTTATTAGTTGGCTGATATTTCGGTCCCTTTTGCCGCTCTTACTGCTGCGATCAAATTTTTGTCAAGTGTTTGGTATCTTTGGAAAGAGCATACCAATAAGAAATGAGACGTTAATCATGTTAGAGTAAAATTTATCTCCTACGAAGGAGCGCAAGATGTCGGTTACCCCAACTTTCTCATTGTGCGCAAATGTGAGTAAAGTTCGTTTTCTATTTACCACAGAATTTTGAAATGGCTGAATACAATTTTTGTTGTTATTACTCACTAGAGAGGACTTATGTGTAACTAAATTACGATTTTTTGCATTCATCATAGCGTGAAAACAAGGAAACAAAGCTTGGAAAGTCGAAGCTTTTGAGCTTGAGCTTTTGGTTTATATTGGGGCATCTGGATATATTGGGGCACAACTGTATCTTACTGAAAGTAGAAATTTTGAGTATTTGATGGTGATAACAGAAACTCCCCTCAATTATGGAAGGACAACAAGAAAAGTGCTTCCAGGGTGTTGCATGCCAAAGCGGGATAATTTTTCAGCCAACCTAATATCGAAAAGGTTTTGACCCATATCTGGCAGATAATCAGTGTTACGGTACAGTCTCTGTATTTATAATAGTGAGGGTGAGAACTATCATTAACTCATTGACGACGACGTGGACCACAGGCGGCCCACGCACTTTTTGCTGCCAGGAACGATGTGGACCACCGGTGGCCCACATCTCTTGCAAAGTCATTGTGTTTGTAGGCCTAGTAATTTATCCATATATTGAAATTTTCTCCAATTTTTTGCACTCTTGAGACCTGTAGGCTCCGTCGTTCAAGAAAATGCTTATAGTTGTTTACAAAACAACCTCGCATTTCGTAAATAACCATAAAATTTTCTTTCACTGGAAATGTTGTGCAAAATCGCGTCGTCCCACAGCGCCGCCACCAAAATTAGGCGTCGATGGCAGCCTTCGCTGCTAATTATTGTAGAATATATTGCGTAATATTGTCTTGAAAATCTGCGAGATCATTGAACAAATGATTCAGCCATATAGTGCTAGCTCCCGATATGAACAAGTTTTCGAGAAACTTCATTTTCCTGGATTATGGTACAATAGAATTATTGCATCATAGGTTGTGCGTTGTAATTTAAGTGGTGTTTGGAGTGAGTGCAAAAATAAGGCTTTTGGATGACAATTCAGAAGAAAAGGTCTGTGGGGATTGTAGTTAGTCATAGCCTTTTCAACATTTTCGCAAATCTCTAAATGATTCGGCTGCTATTATCGCATCAACTATGAGCAAATAATCTCTTACCACAGCATACTTAAATATATTATCGCTTAATGATTTATTTCAGGTCAGGACTTCATCGATCGGTTGGATTGAATTAACGAACGTCATCCATAAATAATATTCACTCTTTGATTTGAAGATTTCTTCCGCTTAATTTTTATTGTCGACTAAATGTGACAATAAAGTCCTTTGTATCAGCCTCAACTTATTGTTTACATTCCATAATGTCCACACATATGTATATGCTGACATAGTATTTATTTGAACAGTTTTTGGAATTTTACCTTGTATAAGTATAGACAGTGCTTACGCAAATCTAGGTACATACCAGGACTTTCATGTGGTTAACTGATTGAGATACCTTAGTTGAGATATTAAAGATGTAGCTATGTGATTCCGTTCGCAGTTTTGAATTGAACTGTTAAAGGCAGTGTCCGGGCAAACTCAGTAACCATATTCAATTACCTGGACTTATCCGCGGCCTTGTATTCGATAATTTTATCCATGTTAGAACGCAAGACCGGCAACATGCGTTTCTCAAAGCCTCATAATTCAATTTGGATGAGAGGAACGCTTCCAACTAAGGCACGCGCCATACTTGATCCGCTTGATCCACTTGATCCGCTTGATCCGCTATATCTCAATTCAGTGAACTAACCAATGTTCAACCAGTGTTGAAGTGGATGAAGATCAAGCGGTCAAGCCGACAAATGCTTCGCTACTGGATCGACCAATGACGAAGCGGATCAAACGGATCAAGTAAGGCACGTGCCTAAGGCTACGCCGCAGAGTCGCTGCAGGACCCTACGATTTCAACTGTGGAAGCATGCGTACTCTGCCGCAGAGCAAGTAATCCACAAGGTTTCCTAACTTTCCGAATTTTTCATGCTTCGAACGTTATGTCCTCGCACATGCGCGATTGCGTTTCCGAGAATGCCCATTCTCGCATGGCGCTGAAATTTCAAAACCCACGGGACATTACCTAAAGAGGACATACCACCTGGATGAAGCTAGAGGCGTACTCCATTCTAAATTCTCTCCTTTTTGTATTTTGAAAAGGAGACGAAAAGTAGAGAACAAAGTGCGATATTGAGATCAATTACGGCACTGTGGTCTGGTTTTGTGTCTTCAGCCGTAAGGTTACTTTCATCTATTCTACGACCAAGAGACGCGAAACCGCATTGCGGACATTGTCTTAACAAGTTTAAGGTTGTTCTTCCCTGTTTCCAAAGAGTGATTAAACCTGGAGGAGATAAATGACAAGTATGAACCTGCTAAGTACACGATTAGGCTTGTTCAGACAATGTGTGCAATGCGGTGGCGCGTTTCCTGGTCACAGAATGAATGATAGTCTTTTCTTTTGGGCATACAAATCCGGCGTGAATGCGATGCAATTGTTCTGTAAGGGCTGTTTTCCTGCATTTATTTTTTTATTGGAAGCATGCTACTACAATTCGAAAGAAGTGCAGATAGATGTTTGCATACACTTCATATCACTGAAATTGAATTTTTTAAGACCAGCTCTGACTAGTGAGAAGCAGTTCGTCTCTTACCGGGATTTCTTGATCTTTCTATCAAACCTTTCTTTGTCACTTTCCTTTTTCTGGAGCCTTTCTTCGGTTTGTCTTCACCTTTTCTCAACTTTTTCCAAGCATAGCTCAACATTTTGTACTCCTGGCAACGATAATAAGATAAGTTGTACGGTATCTGGTTTTGAAAGAACCTTACCAGGTAATTCTCAGATATCATTATTTTGAACTTATAATTTGTTTCCTCGCGAGACAGATCTTGATTTTCTTTCAATTCCAGGAATTCCTTGCCCAACTTTGGTAATCGCTCCAGCAGTGAAGCAAATTTGTCGTGCACTATTTTGTCGTATTTTTCCTTTTCAATGAGATATGCATCGACTTTGTCCTAAACATTTTTCGTCCAAAGATCTGCTGAGAAGCATAGGCAGTAATTATTCTGTAAATATAAAAATCTACCTTTACTTCATGATCTTTTCCCCACTTTCGTTGCATCTTCTTGAGCTCAGATCGACTTAGATCTTTTCTCTTCGACAGCTGCAAGTATTCTGCCTTTGCTTCGGGGGAGACATCTTCAAGGAATGTGGTGCGAGGTGCTGCTCCAAGAGCACTTGCGCACAGTGTGAGAAGTATGTAAAATGTCAGAAATTCTTGCATTCAGATACCTACAAAAAATGAAATTATTGGGTTTCATAAGTTTGTAGCGTTTCCTCTCGTAACTGCTTATTCAAAAAGCGGTAGATTTGCGGCAAAATGCTTATGTTGTTTGAGAAGTTGATCACACCATTCGAAATGTACCTATTAGGACGATCCAAAAGTTCTGGCGCCCCATAAAAATTGTAATACTTTGTCACAATAATCTCGCCTGGCAAAATTATCAAAAGAGTAAATTGTGTATGATCAATGCAAAAGTTTCTGAGAACCATTTTAAAGGAATCGTAACTTCTGCTCTCCCAAAAAATTGCAAAAACTTAGTTTTACTAGATAGAGGAACATTTTTGAGTAGTTCTTTCGTTATTTTCTAATAAGCTGTAACTTCTGAGACGGAAGCAGGAGAATAAAACCAATTCAACTTAGGTCATTTGGAGTTAGATTGCTAAAATTTTGAAATTTGCAATGAAATTCCCTACAAGCAGTATAGTAACTCTACTGATCTACGCTTTCCAACCTTGCAGAGTTGTGTTGAAGGAGCATCTATGTGAAGAGGTTATAAATTTTGGGTAAGAATACAAAACAGAAAATTTGATTTTTTGGCTATAAAAAAACCACAACTCTTCACAGAGACGCTCATTAAACACAAGCTCTGCATTGTTGGAAAGTGTGGATCAAAAGACTTACTATACTGCTTGCTCAGGATTTTATCGCAGGTTTCAAATCTTTAGCAGTCTAACTCAAAATAAAAAGTAATTTTATTTCCCTGCTTCCATCTCAAAAGCTATTTTTTATTAGAAAGCAGCAAAGACACACAAAGAAAATGGTTTCCTCTACCTAGCAAAATGAAGTTTGTGCAAACAGGGCTCTGCTCGAGGTGTCTTTCACAATTTTTTGAAAAGGGAGTTCTCGTTGACTTCGCAAGAAATATACGATATACGACAGCCCTGATTGAACTGAAAAGAAAGTGGAAAAGTGATTTGTAGGGTTCTGAAAGTAGATTAACTGTTTAAGAAGTGTGAAAAGACTTGATGTTGAGAAAAGGAAATATATGAACTTTATTTTCTCTCTGAGCCACCCCGGATGCAGTTCTAGGCGCTTAAAAGCCTAACTTCGAAAAAGTTCGCCACGCCTTCACTTCGTATGATTTTTTCATGGGTTTTCCGACATAGTCTAATCCCTGTTGCACATCTACACACCAGTTTTGGTGTCATACCATTTCCTCCTTTCTGTAAACAATCCTTTTGTTTATATCGAGGCACATTTGAATTCCCACGCATGCACCCAAAGCTAGAAGTTGTTGTTTTTGCAGGGGAATGGAAATTGGACAGTGCCAAGCACTCGCGACGTCTCCAGGAAATGAAGAGGTGATGTAAAAGAAGGGGAAGGGTGATTATTGGAGTGGGATGAAGTTAAGGAGTATGTATGCGCATTGCATGGGGCAATAGCTGTGGAGCAAGTATTGTTTTTCAAAGGAAGACCTGAAGAATTTTGTTGAGTTGATGGGCGTGGAAGTGGTCAACTCCTCATGATTTTTTGTTGGTCATTTTCATACAAAATCAGCTACTTTCGCGTAATCAGTTTTTTGAAGGTTTTTTAACCATCCAGAGACTTCAGTACTGCACAGGCAATTCCTTCTTACTAAGCTAGGCTGACACATTTTTTCCGTCTCAAAAACGATATGAGTTGTGCTTTTCACTCCCGAAACGATATCTCTTGCTCCGTAAGCCACCTGTGCCGAGCCCTGGCAAGCTTTTGCGTCACCCTAATAAATCGGGAAATTCGAAATTTTTTAACGAATGAACTAATATTGATTAAATTCGGTAATCAAAAACCTCGAATAAACGTCGAATAATCATCAAAAATCAAAAATGTTGAATAAATGAAGATCGACCAAGTAAAATTTGAAAATTGAAAATTTTGCAAGAACGAGTGTCGATTATAATCGAGCAATGAGAGTCGAGTTTTGATTAAGTATTTGAACGGCTAGACATTCGAATAAGTCGTTGAAACACATAATTATACGAATGATTTGTTCGAAAAGCGCCATATCGTAACGAAAACTTGTTGACATACCCGGTTTGATCCATGCGGCTCTGCACCAAACTCGAAAATCCGAAAACTTTGAACCAAACGTTTGAATAAAGCAGATAAATGATATTCGTTTGAAATTCGGTTTCCAATGATTCAAAATTTCAAATTTTATTCGAAATCCCGTTTTTTGATTATTCCAGTTTTCAAACGTTATTTGAAATTGGGAAACACCGAGTTTCGAATTCCTTATGCGATATATTCGAATGCTTGAGATTAAGTTTATATTCGGCCAAAATATAGGTTGGATGCGATGCCTCGAAAAGCCTAAATGGATTGGCCTACTATTTCCATATGACAAAACGTGACCACCTCATACGGCAAACGTTGTCAAAACTTCTGGTGCAATAAATAAATAAATAAATAGAAGTGTCCAACAAGCATGACCGGAAGATATGGTCCAATGTGCTCATTTAATTTTTTCCCAGTAGACTATCATTTGTTTCACTTCTTTGGCAAATCATATGAACGGTGAATATCTGAGTATCTCAGTGTTAAAAGGGATTTTATGCGCTGGTCAGAGAGTTTTTGAGACCAGACGCGTTGGCCTTTGAAAAATTAAAGTAAGAGTTGGGCGAAAAAGTGGCAAAAGATCTGCATTACAGCAAGAAATATATTATCGACTAATTTTGATAAAATTCATTTTGCTGGTTTATACACATTTTTTTATACACATTTTGCTGGTACAAACACTACAAGCTCATGAAACATTAGGTATATCGTTGGAAGTTTTCGATAAGCTGGAGCAAGCTGTGGCATCGTGAATTCGAAAAGAGCTTTGAAAGAAGCGTGATAAAAATGTCTCGGCTACTCGAACACATTTGATTTGCTTTGCTTATTCGCTTATGTTTTCTCTCGAAAATGCGTTGTCTTTGCTTTCGCTTGGCAGTCATTGCTAAGCACCTTCGCTTCACAGCAGAATTTCAGAACTGCATTAGGCTCATATGTTCTCTTTGATACTTCAGCAACTGAACTGACACGAAGAAAAGCTTAGCAAATTAGTTGTGCAGCGTGGCAGGAACAAACTGAGCTGGTAAATGGAGTTGTACTTTTGGAAACCATCTTCAATGTCGCTCAGATTGGAGTCCCGTACAGCAGCAACATATTTTTTGCGAATAGAATGCCGTATTCTTATACACAATTACTGCAGCTCCTACAGAAATTTTAACCCTTTACAATAACAAGTTCGGTATTAATAAAAGTAAAATTTCTTCGTCCTAACACGCCTATGTGATTCGGAAGAAAAAATCAGTTCCTTAAGAAATGTTGTAAAAAGCATGTAAAGGTAATTTGCTTTAGGTTTTTGCTAAGTTCATGGCCATTATCTAACCCCTGCTCTCCTATGCCCTCCCTCACCATAGAGGTGTCCACTATACCTCCTTCGCGACCCCCGCTGCACAATAGCGTCTCCGAGAAAGTCAAGCCAAATAAAAAGTAGGGTAATCAGTGCAAATGGAGTTGTGAGAGAAATAAAAGGTAAAACTGGGCGACATTGCAATGGGAAGGGTATTTCGGACCCATTTGTTAAGTCTCTTCATTGAAAGAGCTAGAAATGTGACAGAGAGAGAGACCGGCAAGCAAAAAGTAATCTTATAAATCATGTTTTAGACTAGTATAATGCGATGATGTTGATGTTCAGTGGACAAGGAGGGGGGGGGGGTATCGATGCCTGTAACAATATATTAATAATAATAGAGTAAGAAAAGAGAGTTTTTTTCATGATTGATTGTTGATCTCGGATGTAACTGCCTTCAATCGACTCAATTAGACACAATTGAAGATCACGATGAGAAGTGGAAATTCAGTACAGCGCATGGATATGCTTGAATGAACATCACGTTTTCTTCTTAAAAAGTTGTTGAAAATCATTACGAAGCATATGAGCCTACAAGAAAAAATGCGAAGAAGCAGATGTAGCAAGAGGTACGCGCTTTTAGGAAAAACGGAAAGCAGTGTGCCTGCAACCAGAGAAAATGCATTTTGACGGGCTAAAATTGAATTTTGCTGCCATCGATTGTGGTCAGACAGGTAGTACATAGAAATCACCATCCTGAAAGTTTCTATTATTAGGCTCGAGCCTTTAGCTCGATTAAAAGGATGCGTCGCCTTGAGGCTGCAAGACGCACGTTGAGAGACTTCTTAGGGAGTTGCCGTTAAAGGAATCTCTCATAGATCCGATACTGAGGAGAGTAACGACTTACATGATGATGAATAATGGTTCATAAGGGAGTAGGTAGCATGTTTACAAAGCCAAAAGAGACTTCGTGTTGTGGAATAATGCCTGGATCAATGCTTGAGGTAGAAAAATGATTATTAGCGATTGAAAGAGCTACTTTGGGATAAGATTAGGAGTTGGGATAAGATTTAAAAAGCACCATTAGGAACCATTGAATAGCAGTGGCTAGGAAGTATGTATATAGGTCTAATGTAGTGCTAAATACAGATGACTTGGTACTATACGGTCAGAAATCTTATCGTATTATCGTCTGGTCTTAACCTCTCCAACATGCTTAGCAACGAAATCATATTTTTGCAGTACTCACACAAGGAGAAGCCACTTACTCAAAAGTGCTCTCCAGGGTGCCTCTGATTTTTAGTCCTAGGTGATTGATTCCTATTCGACGATGACATGTTTATTTTTTATGTGCTCTCCAAAACTAGATAGCATCCAATTATTAAGAAACAAGTCATTCTGCTTTTTCAATTTGTTACCAGATCGCGACACAATCGCGCAGCTTTTCTTACCTTTTTCGTAATGGTGATTGAAAGAGATCAATTTACAGGAGGAACTTTGTATGTAATACTCCTTGGTAAAAAAAACACTTTGCCTTAGCAATCAATTTAATTTATTTTTGCTTGAAACCACTGGGAAGAGGCGGGGTTTTTTGATAAGGGCAAGATTTTGCTAAAATTAATGTCAACACACATTCGAGCGAAGAT